TCTTTATCAGCGGACTACTAAATACAGCAAAGGCTGTGACTAGAAGACTCTAGGGCAAGACAAAAGCTAATTTAAAAACAACAGAAAAGGTCAGCATGAAACCAAGAAAAGGAAAGGTGAAAAGTAAGAAAATAAAGGCTGTAATGTAAAACGAAATAAACAAGAAGTCGTGAAATATTTTGCTTAATTAAAAGACAATTTTTTTTTCTGTATATCTATCCGTGATGCAAAAGTCAGATGGCACGCAAATAAGGAGTAAAACAGAGATACAAGTGTGGGGAAATCATCAAGAGATTGGCGTTCAGCAGTTAAGTTTCAGACAGGGCTAGAGGCAGTTGCAGATCCGTTGCAAACACTAACTTATTGCATTTGTATACAAATAAGTTTAACACAAGGAATCGTACTTGATCCCCTATCACTAACATGAGAGTATTTTTATACAGCTTGATGCGACCCTCACCCCCTCCCTTTTTTCTCCCCCTCAAACTACTACATAAGTGATAATAACTATTTATAATGTAATTTTAATACCAGCGGGCCCGTGTTTCGCACTTTCTTCAGTGCTTTTTCATCATTAGGTGCCTTGCCGACTGGCGTGGGCAATCATGCCTCTCAGCAATCTGCGATCTCCTGCAGCATGTATCAGTTCGTGTGCCGACACACCTCCACAACAAGGCTGTCAAGAATCTTTTCTCGTTGTCTTCCTCTATCCCTCTTTCCATAGATCTTTCCAGTGGTCTCAACATATTCTATTTTCCCTCTTCTCATAACATGGCCGAAAAATGATGACTGTCTCCTTCTGATGTCTGTGATAAGTTGTCTTCAGGCTCCCGCCACTTTCAAAACCTCTTGGTTGCTCTTTTTGGCTGTCCAAGGTATTCTAAGCATTCTTGTGTAAAACTACATCTCTGAAGCCTCAAGAAATTGGTTGGCCTGCCTACCGATTGTCCAGGATTCACAGCCATACGTTAAAACTGGATGTATGTAGCAAGCAAGAATACTTTTTCTAACTCTCAATGACAAGGATATATTGCACAAGATGTTCTTCATTTTATAAAATACAGTTTTTGCCTGTCCTATTCTGTTTCTTATCTCAGTTATGCATCTTCCATCTGATGTTATCCATGTGCCCAGATACTTAAATTTCCGTACTTGTCCCAAAATAACACCATCGACTTTTATTACACATTTAGGAATGTTCGTATCTTTGACATCACAATTACTTATGTCTTCCCATTATTCAAACTGAGGACCATTCTTCCACTTTCTAACAACAATGTCTTTCGTTTCCTGTGTTTCATTCTGACTTGTTGCGATCAAGACTGTGTCATCAGCATAACGTAAATTGATTATATTGTGCCCATCAACCACAATTCCAGGCATATCAATTAAAGATCTCATTAAATGTTCACTGTATTTTGAAAACAAATCAGGTGATGGTAGACATCCTTGTCGTACACACTTCTTTATGCTTTCGAAATGAACCTAAACAGTTGTTAATTCTTATAGCTGCTGTTTGCTGCCAATACATATTCTTTATTATTCCTAGATCTTTTTCATCAATGTTTAATTTTTCTCACAGTTTGATTACTTCTTCATGCTTCACACAGTCAAGTGCTTTTGTATAGTCTATGGAGCATAAGTACAAATCAGTCTTTACTTCTATAGCTCTTTATGACAATGTTGCCACAGGATATATATAGCATTGCTTGTACATTTTCCTTCTACAAATCCACATTGTTCATCTCTGATTTCTGGTTTGATTTTGTTTCTAATTCTTCTCATAATTATTTTCAGTAAAGTCTTAGTCATGTGACTCATAAGTTTTATTGTGCTATATTCTTCGCATTTTAAAGTGCCTGGATTCTTTGGCAGAGTTATAAATATAGATTTTAAAAGGTCATTTGGAATGTATCCACTGTTATAAATATCACTTACAAGTTTAGTTATTATTTCAATTCCCAAATCCCCCAGTGTTTCGATTTCTTCCAGTGAGATGTTGTCTGGCCCGGGTGCTTTTCCTTTCTTCATTTTATTTATTGCATCCTCAACTTCTGCAGTCATTATTGGTGGACCATCATTGTTGGTCTGCAGTTCTACATCTGGTCTATTATTATCATACAATTTCCCTATATACTCTGTCCATCTGTTAATTATATTACTATATCCCATTAATAAGTCCCCATCTTTTGATTTTAAACATCCAGTGCTGTACATGACATCTTTCCTGTTAACATATTTATCTGTTGGTACATGGAATGTGAGTCTTTCCTGTGATTTTCCCCAAACTCTATACACATTTGAATCAGCCAGTCTTCTTTGGCCACTTTGCATTTGTTCACTATTTCATTTTGTATTCTAGAGTATTCTTCTTTATCATTCTTTTTCTTCCTGCTTTCATCCATCAACTGCAGAATTTCGTTTGACATCCATTTCTTTTTTGAAACTCTATTCGTTGGTGGGATTGTCTCTTTTGATGTCTGCTGAATTGACTCACGCAACAAATCCTACTGTTCATCAATAGTCTGTATAATTTCCATTACATTATCCCGGTTTTGTGCAGTAACATTGTACTGTTCCTTAATTTCTTTATCCGTTCTAAGAATTCCTAAATTTAACTTGATGTTCTGTGGTGTTTTTCTAATGTTTTTTAGTGTTATTCTAATTTTTCCTACAACTGGAACATGGCCACCAAAGCAGCCTGCTCCTGGTCTAGTTTTTGCTCCAACTAAGCTGCTCCGGAACCTTGTTGAAATCAAAATATAATCAGTCTGATTGCGGACATTATCGCCAGGACTTTTCTGTCCACAATCTTCAAGGGTGGTGTTTAAACCAGGTGTTACCTAGTATCATGCTGTGCTACTCAGCCCATGCTATTCATCTGTCACCTTTCACATTCTTGTCTCCTAGGCCATAACCACCCGTTATTCTGTACACTTTTTCACTTCCTATTTTCGCGTTGAAATCTCCAATTACTATTGTTACTTCACAATTTTTGCATTGATCAACAGCCATGTCCAACTCGTCATCAAATGCGTCAATATCTTCCTCTGAACTATCTACTGTTGGGGCATAAATCTGTACTAAGTTGATATCAAACGGTCTGCCGCGAAGTTTTACTAATAGTACTCTATATGATATTGCCCAAAATCCTTTCACAATTTTTGAACTCTTTTGATCCAAAATAATACCAACTCCATTACTATATTCCTTCCCACACAGTGCTTTTATGACTTGAAATTCAAAAGATCTACAAACGGCGATAAAGATGGCCGCGCGTCATTGGCAACAGAGACGTTAATTATTGACAAACAATACATGGGATAGCCGGCTATGCAGCCAATTTGGCATAACGTTTGTTAACTTTCTATTATTCGGATCGCACTCTTGCTGAAAGTTAGTAATATACTACTTTAATCTTTTTTTTTCAGACCTGATTTAAGCCATTACCTTGAGGGATTTTTTTTTAAAACTGTAATAGTAGTAATAGTAATAATATATTTTAATATTTTTACATAGGTAAACTGCTGCAGTCACAGCTCTGTTCAATCTGTTGTTTTCAGTTCATTATTTATAGTTATTATATCATCACTTTTTTTTTAATTAATACCAAGCGATAGTTGCAACACATAAGAGTTTTGTCATAAAAAATTTGCCATAAATTAATCATTTTGTGTTTTATCATTTTTTTTTGCACACACACACACACACACACAAAGATGTATTTAGCAGAAATCCGCAATAATTCGCCAGCTGGCACCACTAATCTTGATGAATATAATAATATGATACAATATGTGTATTTGATTGATTTATTGGCTGTCCTCCGAATAACGGTCCCAAATAATCGAGCCCGAAAATATACCCTAACAGGGACTCAGTCACATGTCCATTGCGGACATTCGGCTACTTAAATTGTGGACTTCCACCACCGCCGAGAGTATCTCTCACGCCACTACACGCGGCATGGAGCAGGGCTAAACTAGATGGCTGGGACTCACGAAAAGCAGCTACCACATCTCCTGCAGCTTCCTTCATTTTATTTGCTCATGAGTCCCAGCCATCTAGTTTAGCCTCGATCCATGCCGCGCGTAGCAGTGTGGGAGGTACTCTCAGCGATGGCGTTAGTCGCCCCAAGTCCACAATTTACATGTGACTGAGGCCCTGTTAGGGTATATTTCGGCCTCAACCGTTATTCGGAGGATAGCTGAGCTATTTTCTATGTGTGTTTCTTATTTAATTTTTATTGCAATTTTCTTGGATCACAATTGGTTTTATCAAATGTCATTCCAAGTTTTTCTGGCGACGATGCAGCGGCATGGAGGAATATCATTAGAACTGATCCCTACTAAACATAGGACCAACAGCCTTGGAGAGCTATGAATTCTGGCCACCTTCTGACAAGGCACATAATGGTGATGGGCTAGTCTGTATGAAATTCTTAACACTTCAGATCAATACAGTAAACTTCTCATGTGCCTGGCATTGGTGATCCTGCCTTTCATGCTTCGAAGAGCATTTATCAGTTCACGTAGTTCCCTTTCTGAGTTCTGGGGCCTCATTGCGGGGGAAACAAGAACAGACCCACTGCCTACCTAAAAGCATGTTGTAAGAGTCGACTAATTTGGAGCTTCCTTCGAGGTCAAGGTGCATCTGCCTGAGAGGCAAGGAATTAATCATCTGCAAACACACGAGTTAGATCTGTAAAACAGATGTAAACGCTACACTCAGGTTCTGGAACAGGACTATAGTCCAGAAGTGGATGAACAGCCAGAAATTTCTGCTGGAGTTTACAGCCAGTGAATGTGAAAAAAGAAGAAGTTCATGTACTGACATCCTTTCATGCAAAGAGAAAAAGTTGTAAATATTTTTCTTTCATTCATACTGTAGTTAGTGATATTAAAAGATGTTTATATTTCTTATTATAATAGTTGTTTAAAATTCATATTTCAGTTTAACAATGCAACAAAAATAATTTATTGCTGCACACAGCAACCAAAATGTCAGTGAGTTCCAAGCAAATCCCTGATGTGACATCTCAATCAGTGGTTACTAGACTGTCAGATTCTACTCATGGACAAACAGTGAGACGTCGACGAACTAAACTAACTTCAGAAAAAAAGATAGAAGATGATGAATTCATGGCTGCTGCAATTGGTGATGTAGAATGGCTTAAACACAGTTTGAAAGATTCAGGCTCTTCAATTAAGTATGATAAAAATGTAAGAATCATTGACTGAAATTTTTGATTTGGCATATATTATTTTTATTTACACATTGATACCAATCATAAAAAACATTAAAATGTTTGCTGATAATGATCTTGTATGTTAAATGTGACCTGCTCTGGTGTTTTGTTATGCTTCTTCTTTTCTTGACTATCATCTGCTATTTTGTCTTCTGATCACATTATTGTGCGCTGTTTTACAAGTTTGTGCTGCCTGCTGTTTAAAAATAGAGATTCTTCCAGTATGTCTGAATTGCATGATTTATTTTTATAACCTGACATAGTTCATCAGAGATGGGTTCTTCTTTAAGTTCTCAACTGTATACTTTGTGAAGAGTTCTGCTTGTCTGTCCATTTTAAGAGTATGTCTTGTTCTCTTCTGTCACCACACTCGGCCGACCATTACAGTCTTCATTATGAAATATTTATTCACCCTTTGCTAAACATTCCACACCATTTCCTAACCATACTATCAGTCATAATATCTGGTCCATAAACTTCAATGCGTTGCCTGTGAATTACTGCAAAACTTTTTTATTTTTTTTTTAAACAAAAAAAAAAAAGGTTATCCTCCAAATAACGGTCCCAAATTATCGAGGTTGAAAATATACCCTAACAGGGCCTCAGTCACGTGTCCGGGGACTATACCGGAATAGAATTTCAAGAGACAAATAAATCAAGAATTGTATTAAAAATATCTATGCTTACCAGGGACTAATAAATATATTATGAATAATATAACCCTGCTTTGATCAAAACTATGTTCATGTTAACTGAGTGTTTATCTTGAGCTAATTCATTTTAATGAAGTTTTACTGTAATTTTTTTTTTTTCAATTAACACTGTAATTCACTATTCAGTACATAATAGTGTCATGAAAGGATTTTTGTCCAGTCAGAGCATTTTGAAATTAAAGTAACCTTGCAAAACTGAGTGATAACTCATTTTTCAGCATTTGTGGGACTCCTCATTATACACTCCTCATTACCTAATAAAGCTAATATTGTTGTGAATGACCTCTGGGTTAATTTGTGTCCATGCAGAAGAAAAGGATTAAATTTAGGAGTAAAAATCAGCATAGTCAGGCATGAGAGACATACTTTACATATGAGGTCTTGTCAGTCAGCATAGGACTGGCAGTATCAGCTGTAGGATACTATTGTATATATTGGGACTCTGAGTACTTGTATCAGAAGTGTTGTAAAAATATTCCCGCTCTTAAGTGGGAAGGACTAAAATGGCATGACAAAGTCAGAAATGTGGATAACACCAAGAAGAGAGGAAAAGTTGCTGGCGCTGGATAAAACATATACTTATAAAACATATTAATAGTTCATTGTTCATTTTAGAGATCATCTTTATCGCACATCGGACATGACCGTAAGTGCTCTGATATCCTCCTGAATATGTTTCCAAGTGTTTTTAGGGAAACAACTCTCATTCTGTTCTGGCTGATGTAATGGCTTCTCCATGGTTTTTCTATCACATGGCTCTAATTGGTACTCTTAAGGTAAGCGTCTATTCAGTGAAAAATCATTTTCCATGAAACTGAAAGCCTCACATTGTTAAGTCTCTCATATGGCATTGACGATGTCTCTCCTGTCCGTAAAGGGCCCATTCATGATAGTCCCACTGCCAGCCAGAGCGTCTGCTTTTTCATTGCCTTTCACATCAGCATACCTTGGGACAAAAACGAAGGTTATTTTGCAAAACGCTGCGTGCTGAATCAGATGGGGCCACTGATTCAGTACGCACCGCCTTGATCTTTTGTAGCATGACCAATGAGTCGCTGAGCAAGCATGCATTGGTGAACTCCTGAGTTTTCAGCCATTCTTGGGCCTTTGTCACTGCCATGACCTCCATTGTCATGCTGCTGGTGGTAAAGCACAGACTCTACTGTTCTTCTTTAATGACTTTTTTTTTTGGGTCTTGCCATGAAAGCCAATGCACTTCGCTTCTGATGAATCACAGAACCATCTTTATATATAACAGCTTCTTCTGGTGATGTGTGTTTCTTTACCAACACTTTAACTTCTGCAACAGCTACTGGTGGCGCCAATAACCCATGAATAACTATAAAATAATTCCCCTGGAATACACAGGACATAATGGTTTCTGTGTCATTTTATTTGTCAGGGTCTTGAAACCTTTTTTACTTTTTTTATTTTACCATTTCCACAGATTGCTAATCAAGACTTTAAAGTAACAACTTTATGATTTCAGGGTTTTGCAGCGATTCATTTAGCCGCCATTCATGGACGTCTTGACTGCCTTAAGATGTGCATTGACAAATTTAAGACCAACATAAATTTGCCGAGTTCTACAGGCTGGAGAGCTATTCATTTATGCATCAACAGCCAGACTGGCAAGAGGTCTTTAGATTGCCTGGCTTACCTGCTTGAAAAGGGTGCTGATTGTTCTGTGTTAGTACATCCTTCTTTTATAATTACCTAATCTGTCGAAGGTTTGAAGGATGTTAATGACAATAATCAGTGCCACCTACCAGGTACTATTCCTTCACATGATGCTTGTTGGCAAAAAAGTGTTGATAATGCTGGTGTTGGTGATAATGTGATGAAGAGTTTTGAGTGTTCCTTTATGAGGTGAGAAGATCAACTTCACTTTTAAAGGCTTTAGCCCATCTGGCTTATTTTTTTCTCAGAAGAGCAGTGTAGGTCACCCACTGAAATCATCAAACAAAGTACAAACTCTATATCAGCAGTTACATCATCCCCCCCCCCCTTCCTCCCCCTCCCCCCTCCCTTTTTTTCTACCCAGCAATCTCCAAAACAAAAATACCTGCACACATGAATTGAACGATGGAGAAACAAAACCTACTAACAGCACAGCAAGGTAAATGGCTTAACCACTTCACCATAAATACCCCCCAAAGTGTCTGTAATCTATGCAGATCATGACTTCTGTTTGCATTCATATTACAGGTTACTGCTTTATAGTTTTTGTTTTCCATACATGCCTTTATGAATAGAAAACAACACAGAAAATTACAATGATCAATAGTGATGCTTCATAAGCACACGTGATTAGCACTGTAAAAAAATGTTCAGTGTCACAGTTTTTATAAGTGAAACAGCATGATACAGTCTACAGAAGTGATGCTTTAGAGTTACTTGCTGTTTTTATTCTAAACATTTAGACTCTATAAGTTTCAGACAGGTGTTTCTTATAATTATGATGTCCTAAACATTTGTTAATTATTGTAGGATCAGTCTGGGTCTAAACATTGTTAAATAATAAAGCTAGAGGATAAAATTAGTGAAAGAAAAAACTGGAACAGAGTGGATTAATGAATCAGTTTTATAAGGAAATAAGAATCCAAGAAAAGCATATCATGTGAAGACTAGCCAGTAAATACTGGCAAAGTTGCTCAGTACTGAAAGAGTTGACTGCTGCAATATTGTCAGTGATTAGTGGACTATCATCACAGCACTCCAGACATTTCTCTAGGTGCCACAGTCTCCTCTTCAAAAGTTTCACAACTGTAAAATGGGGACCTTCACCCCAGCATTCCAGAGACTTTTGTAGGTGCTACAATCTTCAGCTGAAAAGCCTCATAAACGTAAAAAGACTGATAAAACCTGTTTTGTGTTGATTAATTAAAACTTGTGTGTGTTTACTGACTTCATTAAATCAGGCAGCACTATACACCAATAATCACACAGTAATGAAACTTTGTAATTATAATTGTAAAAATGGTTTTGTTTCAATTTCTAAGTTACAAATAGCTAGCATGTCAATGACAGTCCTACACTGTATTACTTTATAGCAGTGGTTCCCAAATATTTTGACTTGTGGAGCCCTTATCAGAATCAATTTCTATGGCAGAGCCATTAGGCCTACTGGACTCTATGTCTTACGAAATAAGGTGTTTAGAAGCAATTTAAAGAGCAGAAGGAGAGAGGGTATATAGCAAGAGAATTTAAGGTAAAGAGTAAATAACTGCAATGTCAACACTGTGAAAATATGTTCTAAAAACTTAAAAACTAACGGTAATGGTAACTTTTTGTTGACTCCACCAGTAGACATGATACTGTCAGAACTTGGCCATATGTTTATACAGCGGCTGTGGAGTCACTGGAAAGTACAAGTGGGCACCTTAAGCTCCATAGAGCACCAGTCTGAAACCGTTTCTTTGGAGCTAGGATTAGAAACATCCAGCCTGCAGGCCATAGAAGATCTGCAAATTCATTTAGCCTGGTCCTACCATTGCAGCCATGGGTGGCATTCAAATTCAAGAGAAACAGTTTCAGCAGTCAACAAAGCAAAATCCTAATTTTATCAAATATAAAATTCTAATATTTAAGATGATAATTTTGTAAACTGTCACTGCTGTCTGTGCTTACCACTTTTTGAGGCACTAAATACAGTTGTTAAAGATCGCAGATTTTGGATAGGCATGATCACCCACACCAGTCATAAGGGCACTTGATGATGATGGTGGTAGGCAGAGGGGTCATGACCCTGAGGATTGAGGACCTCAGGGCTAGGGCTGTTACCATGGACTCTGCTGGTTAGGATATTCAGTTTTACCCCGACAGAAAAACACCCTTCGCCTTACCAGGGGCCGAACTTAGGCCTGTCACATGCGAGCTCAACTTTGCAACTGCTTGAACAGCCACTTCCCTAAAAAGCCCAACAAAGATGTTTTAAGATTCAGATGACACCAAGCAAGACAAAAATTTCACAGCCCGTTTTGGAGAGACATATGAGGGTATCTACAAACATTTTAATTATCCTAGTTTTGATCAGACTGAGATATACAATTGTAATGATTCTGTAAGTAACTTTCAAAACTTGTATGTCATTTTCTTAGTTCCAATGATGATGGAACTACACCAGTCCATCAGGCTGCTAGTGAAGGCCATGTGGATTGCCTTAAAATGTTGCTAGCCGCAAATGCCAAATTTGATGCCAAAGACTGTCGAGGCAACACACCACTTAATCTCGCCAAACTGTGGGGCCATCGTCAATGTGCAAGGTATATTGGCAGTTGATGTTTGTCCTGTAGTGATTAGCTTTACTTAATACAATTTTTTGTACATTTTTCATTTAGTCGTTTTGAGCCACAGTAGCCTAGATCTCAGAGAACTTGAGCTCTTCTCCCCACACCTCATTATGTAAACCCCCCCCCCCCCCCCCCCCCCCAAAAAAAAGGAAGGGGATGGTTCCGCAAGGTGCTAGAACTGACATGCAATCATTTTTATGTGGCTGAGCACGAGGACTAAGTTGCCCTTTATCCATTATTAGAAATGCTCTTTTTGAGTATTTGCTTATATGTTTCCTGTTGTTTCAAATATATGCTTTTATTTATTTGCCATTCAGCACATAAAAAAAGTAGAAATGACAAAGTAGAAAATGATAAGATAAATAAAGAATAAGACATAAATGTGTCAGTGCAAAAAAAACTTGGTTAAATGAACACAACAAAATTTATTCAAATTATGTTAAGAATTAAATTGAGTAGAACAAGAAGAAAAAAAAAAGATAAAAATTAGTCAAGAACAGTGTGGTTTTGTAGAGGGGAAAAGGAACAAATAATACAGTATATATCCTAAGAACACTGACAGGGGGATCAGTGAAACCCAGAAGAACTTGCATTTATGCTTTATGGATCACACAAAAGCATTGGAAAAGGTGAAAGACAAGGAACTTGTCAAAATGTTGACAGATATTACCATTGGTGGGAAAGATCTCAAAATAATTAAGAATATTTATTGGAAGCAAATGGCAGCTATTAAAATGGGAAATAGATTGGGCACATATGAATAGATCAAGAAAGTAGTGAGACAGAGATATGTTATGTTACCTGACCTCTTCTCTCTTTATAGTGAGATGATATTGAGAGAGATCAAATATACATAAGGAATTAGAGTGGCAGGTTATAATATAAACAACATACATTATGCAGATTACACAGTAATGAAAGCTGAAAATGCAAATTATCTACAACGATTATTGGACATTTTAATGAGGGAGAGTGTAAAAAAGAGGTCTATCCTTGAATATGAAGACAACGGAGGTAATAGTTATATCAAACAAAAGAATACCACTATAGTTTGTTATTAGAATATAAGGTAAAAAGTTAATCCAGGTTAATAAATTCAAATATCTGGGTACAGATGTAAAATCAGACGGAAGATGTGTGTCAAAAATTAAGAGCAGAATAGGCCAGGTTAAGACTGCATTTCACAGAATGAAGAACATCTTGAACAACAGGTCCCTCACTTAGGATGTCCGAAAAAGAATGCTAGAAATGTATGTAGAACCTATATTGCTGTATGGTAGTGAATCATGGAGTATGATGCACATATAATAAAAAAAACTTGCAGGCATTAGAGATGTGGTTTCTCAAAAGAATGTTAAGAATCCTTTGGACTGCCAGAGTAACTAACGAGGATTGATTGAAAGAACCCAATGAAAGCAGATCAATATATTCATCATTAGTTCTCCTTGTGCCTAGTGGCACATGAGGCTTCAGAGAGGACTTTCCATGCTTTCCTGTCCTGTGCAATCTTCAGTGCAGTTTTCCATGTCAAAGATGCCGCACTCAGGTCACTTTAAATCGTTCGTCTCCATGTTGTTTTTGGGCGCCCCTGTTTCCTCTTTCCCTCTGGTGTCCATGTGAGAGCTGTTTTGGCGGGTAAATCAGGATTCATTCTCATAACATGACCAAGCCATTTCCATCTTCTCTTGGTTATCATACTGTCTAAAGTTTCTTGGTTTGTGACTTGAAGTAGTTTAGTGTTTGAGATTGTATCTGGCCAGAAAATTTTGATAATTTTACGTAGACATGTGTGGTGAAAGGCGGACAGCTTGTGTGCATCCTTTCTGCTCATTCTCCAGCATTCCGCTCCATTAAGTAGAACTGGCAAAATGATGCTCTTGTAGAGTCGCAGTTTCGTTCCTCTGCAGTAATTGTTGAATTTCCATATTTGCCTCTTCCTTTTAAAAGCAGCTCTAGCTTTGTTCAGACGTGACTGTATGTCCTCTTCGGTCCCTCCAGGCAGGGACACCACACTGCCAAGATATGTAAAATGTTCTACATTTTTAAGAGTTTGGTTATTTATGGTCACTAGTTGTTGGTTTGGACTGCTTGTCATGATCTTAGTTTTCTTTGTATTTATTCTCAGTCCCACCATTTCTGCTGTGCTGTGTAGTCTTATACTTTTTTTCTTGTATATGTTCATGTTTATGTGATAGGAATGCCATATCATCTGCAAAATCAAGGACCTCAAGCACGGTGAATGGAGTCCATCGTATGCCTCTCAATGTCATGTCTACTGTGTTCTTTAGTATTCAATAAATCACAAGGTTGAAGAGGAGAGATGACATAACACATCCCTGTCTTACACCTGTCTTTACTGGGAAAGATGTATTGTAATTTTTTATACTGCAGGAAAAGTCTTTATAGAAGAGAGCAATTATGTTGACTTTTTTTTCTGGAATTTCATAATGTCGTAACATTTTCCATAGACTGTCTCTATGGACGCTGTCAAAAGCTTTCTCAAAGTCCACAAAATTTATGTATATACTTCTCTGCCATTCATTGCATTGTTCTAAAATATTACGTATGGCGAAGATGTGTTTAGTTGTTCCTCTGCCCTTTTTTAATCCTGCTTGTTCCACTCGTAGGCATTTATCTACTCCTTTTTCAAGCCGCATTATGATGATTTTACAAAATATTTTGCTTGCTACTGAGAGTAGAGTAATTCCCCTCCAATTATTGCAGTCTGTTGACTATTGTTCCTTCAGTCCAGTCATCAGGCAACACTTCTTTTTCCCAAATATCCTTGAACAATGGTTCTAGAATGCTAGCAGTTGTGTTGGGATCTACTTTGAGAAGTTCTGCTGGCAGTTCATCTTTGCCTGGTGCTTTGTTGTTCTTTAAAGTGATCAATATATACAGCTATAAGGAAAAGTCAAGCACTGTTCTTTGGTCATGTGATGAGGGCGGAGGCTTTGGAGAATATTGTGTCGGCTGGGAAGATCAGTAGAAGAGAGAGAGGCAGACAGAGAGAGATGATGATGGATGATCTGAAATGGCGGTATGGAAGGATATCATCAGTGAAACTGATCCAGAGGGAAAGGGACCAAGATCTGTGGAGATACATGAATGCCTAAGCCTGTCAACAGGGCATATGGTGATGATAATGACAATAATAAGAATTTTTGTTGTTATTATTATGCACTTAAACAGGTTAAACCCTTTGAGCTCTGCCCTGTAAAAAAAATTATAATTGAACTGAGCTCCCCTTTAAGATTTCTTTATAGTGGTGCGCTTGGTAATTTTTTTATAGTAATTACACAAGTTATATAATTGGCTTTGATTTGTGCATGTGTGTGCATGCCTGTGGTGTGGGAGAGAGAGAGATTGTTACTTGGTTAGTTGTCTACGGTGTTGGACTTCATTATTCTGAGTGCCTATTTTGAGTAATCGTGTCTTTAATTACTTCAACAGAATTCTTGCAGCTGGAATATGGAGTGAAAATAAAGACTTTTTTGCAAAAGAAATGCATCAGCTTAAGAAAATAAAGATGCAACAAGTTCTGAGAGAGTTTGAAGCTGAAGAAAAAAGGAGAGCACTGAGACAGCACACTGAAACTGATGTCTTTACACAGTGGGCAAGAAATGGAAATGAGGCACATAAGTCACAAGACAATCAAAATCTCACAATTAGTAAAGAATGTGTATATAAACCAGACAGTATTTTGAAAGCAGCCAAAGAGACTGAATTACATATTAAAACAATGAAATTACCAACAAGTGTAAGAAAAGCGTCAGATGACATAAGTATTACAATGAATGAAAGTGCAGATGTTAAACCAGTCACTGAACACAGCAAGTATAAAGAAATGTCTAACAGTGAAAAATCAAAGAAATTGAATAAAAAAGAAACAGTTCATAAATTAAAATCAAACTGGAATGTCTCAACTAAAGCTATAAACAGTCACTATTTACGCAACTTGGATGATGATTACCCAAGGGATGAGTATACCATGATGCCTCAGGTGAAAGGAGTACCCCGGTTTTATGAAGGCAGATTCGTTCATCCCTTTACACTAGACAACATTGATGAGGACATTAAGAGGAAAGGGTCTGCCGCAAAGCTAAGAAAACCCAGACTGCCAAAAGAGTTGATAAATTTTGAATTATCTGCAGTTTCCAGTGCTAATGATAGAGGAATGATTTTCAAATGTAAGCATATAGATGATATTTCCATAAAAAAGAAATTTGACATTGACAAAAAGGGCTGTTCTGAAGTACCATTGCATTTATCAAATGATATAAACTCACACTTGGTACAACATAGTGTTCGAGTAAGGCACACTGCACCCACAAATACCTATTTAAAATTACATAATATACCTTCGGAAACTACAATAATAATTTGCCAAGCCTTTAGTCTTGGAGACTTGTAAGAACATGTCTAAGATAAGAAATTGATAACATATGTACAAAAAATAAGCATTTACAAAGATGTATGTTTCTGTCAGTAAGCAGAATTACAATGCAGAATCAATAAATATTTCAGAGACTGGTCTCATAATGTTTTTGAATACTATGATTTAGACTCCAGAAGTGTAAATCACTAACTCCATGCTGTTCAATAGCGCTTCACCACCCTTGCTCAATCTGTGAAACTTTGAAATGATTCCAGATTGTCTATAGATTGATTTACCATATTAACTACGTCCACATATTTGTCTTGGGGCAGGTAACTGCTTTGACAGTTGTTATGACATTTAGCAGATCTTTATTGACTTTATTAACATAACTCTTCAAAGGCAAATTTACATTAAATTAGGTGTCTTCACAATGACTGCTTTAATATTTAAATTCTCTGCATTTTAGAATATTGGAAACTGTATCTATTCTAGATCACCATGATATTAGGGTGACCATAAAATCTTGAGCTGGAAACGGGACATCCCAATAATATTTTAAACTGAAAACGGGGCATCCCAAGCAAACCAGTTTAACCTCACTTCGTTATAGGGGTTAAAATTTAGAGGATTTACTTCATTGCATATAGTTTTATCCCATACAGTTCAGTCTCTCTCTGCAGAATGGTAGCCACCTGCAGAGATATCATCGCACAAAGCATGAACTCAGTAGGGTCTGTGATGTCCCCAGTGATCTACTTAAAAATTGCACTCGAGAACTGAAAGGCACGGTCATGAAACGAACCCATGACCTTCAGGGCGTGAGGCAAACGGCTTGACCACTTAGCTACAGAGACCTCTGTTTGTAGTAGGTCACTGAGGTGAAAGGGTTAACTACTGGCTCTTCACTGGTATATTAAAACAGCAACCACTGTTGCCGAGAAATAAACAAAACAAGGTTCTCTTCAACCGCACTGAAAAATGTCCATCAACACATTTTAGTCACTAAAAGTATCTGAAATTAGGAAATCTAATAATGTCTACACATGTTACTATGATTGCATGGTTTTTTTCTCAAAATAATTCTAAAACATTTTTTTTTTAATGGGACAAGTGGCTTTTTTTTTTTTTGGTACCAACTGGATGGCCGGGACATACCTAAAAAACAGGACTTTCCCAGTAAAAACAAGATGTATGGTCACTCTGCATTTTAATCTGCATTTTATAACTCTTAACTCTTTTAGATCCAGGTGGTTTCCAAGAAAAAACCTAATTTGGCGCAATAATCACAGTAAAAAAGGGCCTAAGCGTGGATTTTCAAAGATACAACATATACTGAGAAGCATTTGATATATTTCGCCAGGTTTCTTGTGCATACTCAGACAAAACCTAAAATAAACAATTCACACCATGTGTTGTGTTGATACACATAGACATAAGCTGAACATGCTTGGCGTGTTTGGGACAGAAAGAGTTAACTCTTTGAGTCCCAAGGAACGCAACATACGTTCATAGATTCCTACTTAGAAGCCCAATGAACACATGATGAGCCGATTTTACATCTCTCTTAACTGTCCCTTGGGCCTGTGATGCTAAACCCGCTAGGACTCAAAGAGTTAATTACCCCAGCAAACACAGGAAGGCAAATAGAATTTTAAAAATCAACTCTGAACGGGTGTGTCAGCAGTTATAAACTGTTGTATTTGCTGAGAAGGGAATCTGAGAGGCCATTGGAGCCCCCCCCCCCCCCCTTTTCCCCCTCTTGCCAGAACATTTTAGAAAGGGATTAAGTTGAGTCCCCCCCACCTTAGAAAATGTGTATGTGGGCTAAGCGTCCCCTTAACTATGTACAGAAGTGTCTTTTTAAATATGTATTTATACATTATTTCAAATATATTATTTATGCATTTTTTATTCATCACTTTGTTTTACATACATACATACTTTCGCGGAGACCGGGCCCACTACTCCTTGTGGTCTTCGCGTTCAACCCGGCTGTAAACTCTGGCGGCAGGAAAGCCACATTTGCTCGTCCCAGACTTACGGTATTTACAAGAGGCCGAAAGAGTGTTGTGTGCATCCATTTTACCAGATCTCATTCTCTTAACAGACTCATGGCTTCTTGATACTCCGGCACAATGCACTTCACTTCAAATTGTTTCAAATATATTGACTTTACGACATTTTTGGGGAATCACAGTGGTCTACATCTTACATCCTCAAACAAGGCTGGGGTACCTTGAACCCACACGGGGGCCTCCGAAAAATAAGTAAGGGGGCTGAGAGCCACCTCCCCCATTATTTTTTTTTAAAAATATAAATTCATACACATACAATGAATTTAAAATTCAGCACATTATTATATTACCCACTCAAACAAGGCTTAGGTATATTGATCCCCTTAACCCCCAGAAAATAAGTAAGGAGCTAGGCCCTTTCTCCCCACCCATTATTTCAAATATTTCATTATACAAATGTGTTATTCGCAACTTTATTATTTTTTATAATATTACACACTCAATCAAGGCTTTTAGCTCTTGAGGCGTACCCCACTCCCCAGACACACACACACACACACACACAAATAAGTAAGGGGTGGAGATCTCCTTCCCTAATGTTTTGTTTTGTTTTTGTGCCAGGACCCTGCTGTGGAAAAGTAGATTAAGTGCATTTAAACTCAAGCAACAATTCAGTTCAACTCTGTTACCTTAAACTGTTTCAATATTTTTGCGTGCAGTCAATTTTACTTTTCAGAGTAAAAATATAAATTATAGTTCTGTGAGTACACACAGGTTAACATCTACAACTATACGTCATCATTCTCATACATATTTATCATTTTAACAGCATTTACAAATATAAATAAAATACTATTTAATCTTCGGTCTTGTTTGTTTGTTTTGGACTATATCTATTTGGTTTACATTGATGATGAACCTGATTACTACGCTTATACCCCCGTGTGTGTTTCGGGTTCCTGATAGGGAAAACAAGATAGACTCACTGCCTACCCAAAAGCATGTCTTAAGAGTCGACTAATTGGGAGCTTCCTTCGAAGTCGGAGTGCAACTGCCTGAGAGGCAAGGAACCAACAGTCTGCACACAAATATGTCAGATCTGTCAAATGGATGCACACGCAAAGCTCAAGTTCTGGAACAGGACTGCAGTCCAGAAGTGGATGAACAACCAGAACTTTCCACCAGAGTTAACAGCTGGTGAACGCAAAGAAGAAAGAAGAAGACTACTCTTATCTGGCCCATTTAATCTTATAGCGCTGAAACATGAGTTCTAAACAAAAGATTAACATAATTTACGTTTTTAGGATGTAAAGCTAACGAAAGGTAGCGGATTGATTGAAACATACAGTCACACGAGAGAGAAAGCGAGAGATCAATAGAAGAAAGTATTAAACTGTTGATGAAAATAGTATATGGTATTCTCATTTAGCAGGTCTGTCACAGATGCCGCTACAGAAGATGCCTCCTGTAATGAACGCAAGGGAGTCTTTTTAATGGTCACAAATCTCCGGTTGTGTTCACTCTTTTATGAGTACTTTCTACATCATGTCTGCATTTTCATTCAGCACCGCTCACTCCTCAAGAAACCACTGTCTAAAGTAATAAAGCGTTTGATGTGACTGCGGTATTTAATTTCCGTGACGTTAATATGTTTGTTCTTCTATTTTCGAATTGAAAAACGTTGAAACAAGTTGTCTAGATTGAGGTGGAAAAATGAGACAACATAGTCTGAATTGTCATCGTCCTTACCCGCACAGGAGTACACGTTACACCAGAATCAAATAGCCGTTACAAGTGCTCCAATTTCAACTAAATTGGAGGTTGAAAGGGGTATCTGGGATCTGCACTGCTGGCTTGCCACCCTGACTGACATTGTGTAATTTCCGAACAGTTAAACCTTCAGTTAGCGGGGGGGGGGGGAGGGGCGCAGGATTTTGAAAGAAAAGAGGAAAAGAGGACGCCTAAAGAACAACTATATCACAAACGGATGCAAAGACGTTGGTGTTCAGACTTCCACTGCGCCAAAAAGAGGTGAGGATAAACGTGTTTAAACGGCTTCGACGTTAGTTTTAGAACGGGTTAATCGGTTATTATACTGGCTTTGTCATAAACATTTGGTGATATTGACCGGCATAAACACACTGGTCTACTCTTCTTGAATAATAGTGTTCATTTTTGGTGACACCTCTTCTGACCTGAAGTTCTTGTAGACTTTTGAGTGTTATTCGATTCAACGTCTCTCCTGAATTATCTTCTCTTTCTATTTCCTGAAGATAATCATTCAGTATGGGCTGCTAGTGGGTTTCAAATTCACATGAAAGTACACGAGGCAGAGAGTGATCGAGTTTTCGTCAACTTTTCTGTAATGAGAGCGATGTCCAGAGAAAAAACAACACTTCATGATGATGATGATGATGACAACTAATGGCTGTAATACTAGTTAGTTAATTTGTTAGTTGGGTTATCATCATTGCCCTCCGGACATGTCCATAGGTGCTCAGATCCTCCCCTCAGTATGAACCCCAACGTCTAATAGTACCAGTTCTATGTTGATTAACAAGTCTTCTGACGTGTCTGGTGTGCGTCTCGTTTTTTGCTATGCCGATCTTAATTCCCAAGTCTGCCATTCTGGCGAGTGATGTGGATTCACCGCCACCAAAGTCCTCTATTCTTCCCATTTCTCTAAGGGCATTAATAATATCAATATGATCCATAGGCTGACCGTCGGTAGTGATAGCGGATCCAGCCAACCTGTCAGTTCTTTCATTTCCATTGACGCCTGCGTGTCCCGGAACAAAAATAAAGGTGACTCCACGCACAGTGGACTTCTGTAATGATTCAAGCCATTGCCTTCGCACCAAACCTGCCTTAACCCTCCGGATTATACTCATTGAATCACTGAGTATACATACGCGGGTGTATTTTTGTGTTTTGGAGCCAGGCAAACGCTTGCGTCACTGCCATCACCTCCATCGTCATGCTGTTGGTTGTAATGGAGAAGGCACCGTTGGCTTCTTTGACTCTTCTGCCCTCTAAGCGTGCTGTGAATGCCCATGCGCTTCTTTTTTGGCGTATAAAGGATCCGTCTGTCTAGATTAGTGCATCTGCTTCGTTTGAATTTTCACTGATGAGAGCGTTGACCTCTGCATTAACGGCAACAGGATTCTCTTCTCTACACCGCCTGTTGAGTGTGGCAATACAGGAAAATGTACAAATAAATGCATCTGGCTCTCTAGCGAAGTTGGTTAAACCTGACTTTCGCGGCGGCCGGGTGACGAACTCCTTGTGGTCCGGGTTCACTCCCGGGGGTAGGCAGAAAAGCCACATTTCTCCCAGATTAACGGTACCTATAATGGAATCAAGGCCGAAGGGTTGCGATATCCATAGTACCGAGCCAAAGGGTTTACAACTCATGGTTTCTGGATACGTTAAAAAAAAAAAAAAGAGGCACAGGTATCCACTCTGCACCAGGGGGGATGTCGGTTAGGCTGCATATTTGCCTGATAACATCTTCTGCCCGACCTAGCCACGATTTCCCCCTCTTCAGTCTGTGGCCGTTTTCAATAAAAAGCGCTTGATTCAGTGGGTGTTTCTTATCAGTACATATTTTATTTTTAAGGTATGCCCGAGCCCTCCAGATCCTGATCCTTTGGTTCGGCTGTAATACTAGCAACAGATATACTACTTCCGTTTTGTAGAAGTTTGTAAACATGATAGTGCGCAAGGCGCTGCTGCGGTCTTTGGTATTGCTTCGTCACGGTATGTAGCTGGGGTTATGGTTGCAAATAACACAAACTGTCTTACTGCTAAAAAAGATAGTATAAAGTCCATGTAAATATGCAGCATTCTAATACTTATAATACATGCAAACCTCTGCGGTTAATGCTACGCAGAATTTATGTTATTTAATGTTCACTGTATGACTATGATGAATGACTACTATAAAAACTAAGTCTACCAAAAGTACTTTTACTTTACGTCTACGACGACTACTCGGTCAGTGCTTAGCTATCGAATTGTTTTGCTTGATGACCACGATCACTTCATTGTAAGATGTTCTCAGTGGGTCCCGTGGCCCTATGTGGGGGGGGGGGGGGGGGCTAGGCGTAGACCGAACCCCCCCCCCCCCAATCAAGTATTTCGTAAACTAAAAGTCGACTAGTTGGGAGTGATTCCTTCTCGGAGTCAGTGCACGATGCATCCATCTGCCCGGGACCCTAAGGCAAGAAACCAGCAGTCTAAATACAAATTACAAATAAGTCAAATCTGTAAAATGGAGCCACTACATCATGGCAGCTGCTAGTTTTTTTCATACATTTGCATGAAATACTCAAGTCAAATGTCAATCAGGTGCCCTTTCCCCAGTAAAGGTTGGCTGCAATTTCAAATTGTTATTAATATTATACAAGTCTGTTTTTTATACTTTAGTATGCTTTTTATAATCTTTTTTTGGTCTTTAACATAGCCTTTTTTTTTGCTTGCTGATGAATGCTTGAAGACAAATTCATGATGCATTACAATTTTGTGTTTGTTTGCTTGATTTCAGTTACAGCCTTTGATTTCGAGTGTGTCATTTATCTCCATTGTTTAAAAATTTTGGTGAGACTCCTTGTAGTTCGACTGTTTCATTTATCTCCGTTATTTTCTTCCAGTGAGACCACTTGTAATTCGACTGTGTCATTCATCTCCATTATTAATCCAGCACCCAGACATGAGGGTAAAACTGTTGCCTGCTTTGGAGGACAACTACATGTACCTCATCATTGACGAGGAGTCACACAAATGTGCTGTAGTTGACCCTGTTGACCCAGAGAAGGTTCATTTTTTATTTATTTATATTTCAAACAATTATGGTCATTATTTGAATGTTCCTCGAATTCTTATTCCACCCAGTTTTTGGCAGGGAAAAAGAGACCCACTGACCTCTTAAAAGCATATCATAGAAAGTGACCATTTAGACGTTTTCTCTGTGAAGTTGAACTGAATCTGCATGAGAGGAAAATAACCAACAGTCTGCATACCAATAAGTTAGATCTGTAAAATGAATATGCACATGATTTAAGATCTGGAACAAGTCTACAGTCCAGAAGGGGACAAACAACCATTACTTTCTGTCAAATTTATTTTCTGAAGAACACTAAGAAAAAAAAGATTTAAATGTGGGTTGTCATAATGACATTTATGTTGTCTGTATGGTCAGTTCTTACTATTATCTATGTTCACATATATCAGTGTATAATATAAATGAATATAATATGTATGGTTGTTTCACTGAGAATCTTCTAGAAAATTGGTTTAACTTATATGGTACATAGTCCCTGTGTGAGTTTCGGGTTCCCATTTAGGGATAAAAATTAATCGACCCACTGGCTAGGAAAATCACATTTCTAACTAGACAGTTCACCTTTGACTACTGTTTTCTTGCAGATAAATGTTACATTAACTTGTTAATCTGAATTGTTAGTTTTTTCCCCTTCTGTTAATGGTGTTATTATTTCAACTTCATTGAACTCAGACATTTGCTGCTTTAATCTAGAACTTATCAGGATATAAGAAGTTAAAATAATTAAAGACTCTACTGATAGAGTTAATTCAGCATCAGGTGATCTGACAGCAGACTACTTTGTGTTGACTTCAACAGCAGTTCGAGCGGCACAACATTCACAGAGCAGTGACAAACAACTGAATGTAAAATTGCCAAGTGAGACCACTCAACAGTCACAGATGCTGGGATTGATTTGTGATGTTCTGTACAGCTTGTAAAGGACATGTGGCTGGCTTTTTTTTTTTTTTTTTAAATTTATGTTAAATTTAACAGATTTGGATTATTATGATTTTTGTAAATCTTGTAAAGGATATGCAGCTTGCTTTCGTTTTTTTTTAAATGTTAAATTTAACCAGTTTACTTCTAACAGTTGTGTATTAATGTTACATGTGCAGGTGCAGCAAGCTTTGAAGGAAGAGGGTGTTGAGCTGACAACAGTTCTAACTACTCACCATCACTGGTATGTTCAACACTTCTAATCCCATGTGGTTGTTGCTTCTATCTAACTACTCACCATCACTGGTATGTTCAACACTTCTAATCCCATGTGGTTGTTACTTATATCTAACTACTCAGCATCACTGGTATGTTCAACACTTCTAATCCCATGTGGTTGTTACTTCTATTTAACTACTCACCATCACTGGTATGTTCAACACTTCTAATCCCATGTGGTTGTTACTTCTATTTAACTACTCACCATCACTGGTATGTTCAACACTTCTAATCCCATGTGGTTATTGCTTCTATCTAACTACTCATCATCACTGGTATGTTCAACACTTCTAATCCCATGTGGTTGTTACTTCTATTTAACTACTCACCATCACTGGTATGTTCAACACTTCTAATCCCATGTGGTTGTTACTTCTATTTAACTACTCACCATCACTGGTATGTTCAACACTTCTAATCCCATGTGGTTATTGCTTCTATCTAACTAATCACCATCACTGGTATGTTCAACACTTCTAATCCCATGTGGTTGTTACTTCAAAACTGTAAACTGTAAATCCTAAAGTGTTTGTACTTTAGAGCAATGTTTTTTTTAGTCTTTTAGAACTGAACAAAACAACTGTGGGATATAAGTTGAAATAACAGATTAAAACAAAATAATAGAAGAACTGGACAGAAAAAGTAAAGAAAGGTGTACCTTTTCTATAGTAAGCAACAAATTTATTGTGTGTTCCATCTTGATACTGGAAGAGTTGATGTCAGTTTGTGGAAGTGACAACTACAAAAGTGTTGCACAGAGCACATAATTCATTATATTAGCTCTAATTATAGCCCAAGGGTTCCCTGAAACACCTGTACCCATTTTAACTGAAGAAGCAATTTTCTCTGTGGAGAAGTATGACTATCAGCCGACCTACCTACCAACCTGTCTATGTGTCTACCAGTTTCACAAACATGTGCTCAAATAGAACACACACATACAAGACAAGTATGAGGTAGAGTAAAAAGTTAGGGCCCCTTTTCAAGCCACTGACACATCTGAAATCTGATGCTAGACTCATTATTTTATTGACTAATCAGCACTGGATGAGTGATGTGGTCAACCTCAAGCTGGTGACCTTTACTTCTTAGGACTTTACCTGGTATCCATTTTAGGATGGATTGACCTGAGAGCCAACCTCATTTTGGCAAGCAAGTGCCTAGTCACGGTTCAAAGACCAGAGGCGATGCATGGATGTAACAGTTGTAATTGCCGCTCATACTTTTCATTGCCAGATGGTTTTTTTAAAACTGTTGTTGTTGTAAATTACTGTTTGCTATTTATTGCAAATACATCACACGGTTTACGTCTTGCACATAAGAAGGGGTGTTTGCTGCATGCTTATGCCATTAATTCAGAAACTTTAATATGTAAAAGCTACCAGTTACTAATCCTACAATGCAAGCTGTGCATGCACATTCTCAACTGCAAAGCAACGAGGAAAATATAATGTGATACTGTCTAAGATATAATTCTTACCTGCTAGTGCTTACACTTGTGAATTGATGACACCTGGCTAATGTCAAAAACAAGCATTCCCTTACATAATTATGCACTGACAGGTATATGAATAATTTATTTTGTATGGAATGTAGAAGTATTTGTAGTTTCAAATATATTTTTCAATTAATTTATCAATAATGTGTAAATATTTACAGCATTTGTTACTATCTTCAATCACTTTATATTCAAAGGGATCATGCCGGAGGAAACGTCAAACTGATTGAGGCTGTTGGAAAGACTGAAGTAGTTGGAGGTGACACCAGAATTGGGGCTCTGACACGCCAGGTTACTCATGGAGATGAACTGAAGGTCAGTTCACAGTTGTTTTGTTGGTTGATTACACATTGGTCTTCAAATGAAGACCCTGCAGTTGGTCATTGTCTTTGTATCTTGGGCAAAGTCTTGGGAACAGAATTAGTCAGTTACCATTCCAGGAAACTGTTTATGTTATCTGCCTGTGATTTGTAAACATATGTTTAGTTAGAATGTTAGTTATGTTTTCTTTACAGGATGTTGCAGAACCAATCCCAGCATTTTTTGGCTGTTGTGGTTTTTCTAGGCAAATTCTACGTTCAATAGTTTGCCATTGCAACTGTCAGCTCTTGGTACTACTGTCAAAATCAGCACAAGACAAATCACCCATAGATGGAATCGAACACTGCATCATGAAGTGTGTTCACAATGCCTTAGCCACAGACTCTGAGATATGTATAGAATATTAGTATAATTTACATTAACTTTTTGGGTAGCAGACATAAATGAGGTGGGTTGAGCCGAGTAAAGCATAAAATGTAAACAGTTGGAAAATTTGAAATATAGGTAAGCTTTATAAGTTACAGTAATAAACAGACATAAAGTTGGGGCCACAAGCCTTCACCAGGAAAGAAACAAAACACAGAGTCAGAGCAGTGTTCCCAATGTGAATACAAAAGTGAAGACGGAGTAATCACTGAAATATATTCCTTCCTTCTGCCTTTCTATCCCCCAATGGAGCATAGGCCCTCAACCAACTCACGCCAAGTCGTTTCTATTTCTTCGCCATTGCTGGAGCTCTCCCCATGTCCCTCCAATCTTTCTAACCTCATTCTCCAGCTCTCTTCTCCATGTGTTTTTTTTGGGCCTTCCTTTATTCCTATGCCCCTGTGGGTTCCAATGCAAAGACATTCTATTATGCTGTTTCTCCTGTTTTTCCTCAGTGTGTGCCCCTATCCAACGCCAGCGTCTTTTTCCTCACCTCCTGATCCACTGGAGCCTGTTTAGTTCTCTCCCAAAGTTCTACATTAGTTATTCTATCATACCATTTTATTCCCTCTATTCTGCGCAGGCACCAGTTAATGAATGTCTGTAATTTATTAGTAATTGCCTTGGTTTTTCTCCTGTTTTCCGCCCCATACAATAGTACTGATTTGACATTAGAATTAAAAAATTTTTTTAGTTTAGTATTTTCTTTTATTTCTTTTGACCTCCACATTCCTTCCCTAGTGCAATGAAAGCCCCTCTTGCCTTTGTATTCTAATTTTAATATCTCTATCAGTTCCTCCATCTTTATCTACATTGCTGCCTAAATATAGGTAATCGACTCCCACGTCTTGGAGTGGTGTGCCATTGAGAGAAAACGCCCATTACTATTTGCCTGATTTATTCTCATTATCTTTTGTCTTTCCTTTATGGATTTTTCAGACCAAGCTTGCTGTGATCTCGCATTAAGTCTATTTAAGTTATCTTGTATCTGGCTTCCGTGGAATGGGACAGACGAGCATTATCATCAGCGAAGTCCCAGATTATCAAGCTGTTTTGTAGGGGTCCACACTGAATTCCATTCTTTGGTGTTTAGCAGGTAACTGTTTTCATATTCCAGTCTCTTGCCAGTACAAAATCAAAAAGAGAGGCGACAAGGCATCCTGTCGCACACCTTTTTTTTATTTCAAATGCATCTGTTATGCTGTTTCCCCCTCATGTACCTCGACATTTCAGTGTCTTTATTATGTTTCCTTTACTAAGTTTTGAAAATAATTTTCTGTGGGATTCCTAGTGCCCCATCAATTCCGAGGATTCGCCTATCCATGCTGCAAATGCTTTTCATATCTATGAATACAATGAAAGTGGGAGTTCATTCAATGCTTTGCTTATAAATAGCATCTTTAATTTTTTCCAAAATAATTCTACTTAATTTTTTCCAGGAACTGACAGAACAAATTTCCTCTAGTTTTCACATCCCTTTAAACACCTTTTTTGGGCAGTTTCAAAAAGATATCCTTCTCTCCCGTCTCTGGTATTTCTTGGGTCTCCCGACTTTAAATAAAATTTTGTAGAATTTTGTTTTATGGGTTTTTTTGTTGGTCCTGATGGCTTCAGCTGGGGTACCATCGGGCCGAGCCTTTCCTTCCTTTAAAAAGATTTATAGCTTTTTTTTTAAATTTTTTTTTTTGATGGTATCTCACAGTTGAATCCAGTTCTATTTCTAAAACTTTTTCTGGGGGAAAACCCCGGGCCGGTCATTAGAAGCTTCAAATATTCAACTCATCTGTCCCCTTTTGATCTTTAGGTTAAAATACCTTTCCCTTTACTATTTTGATTGACCATTGGCTGACTATATTTACCTACTAATTTTTTTTGTGTTTCGTAATTCCGAGGGTTTTCCTTTTGCTGCTGCTGTCTCCGCTTCTTGTGCTAGATATTTAATATTTCCTTTATCTGCCCCTTTTTCCTCCTAACTTTTTGTTGGCTTTTTTGTAATTCTCCTGAGCTTTTTAGCTTTAGCACTTAGTTTTGCTATTTTTTAATTCCCTTTTTTTCTTTTCCTATCTTCAAACAGTTTAATGGTTTTGGTGTTTTTCCATCTTTTTTGTTTTTCCTTTTTTTTCTTGCCAAGAAAACCCACGCAAGATTTTTTCCCGATTCCCCCGTCCGATCCCCGCAGACTTCTGTGTTACCTTTTAGCTAACGCTGCAACACCTGGTACTTTTTGAGATCGTAACTGAGAACTTTTTCCCTTTTTCCTTTTTTCTCTGAGAAAGCCCACATTTATTGGTTTTTTTATGATTAAAAATGTTATATATCTTTTTAGTTTCAACTTTTTTTACTTTCACCCTTTTCACCAGGAAAAAGGGCATAAAAACTCACTGAATATATACATTAGGGTTTTTTTATTATTGCTATTGAAACAAAAATGATAGTAAAATTATCAAAATTTTTGCGCTTAAATGATCTGCAGCTTTTGTGAAAAAAACTAAAGGGTTTGATTAAAACTAAAAACAGATCAAGCTTTTGTACTACTTTTTTAAAAAAAAATGCATACTCTGTTCACTGAGTGAAATTATTCAAATTTCTCCAAAAAACCTTTGCGTTCAACCTGGCAGTTACAGTTCTTTTTCACTGGATCTTGAAATTTTTTTGGGCGTCCACTTTCCCTCCAACAAATAAAACGTCCACATTTTACATTTTTTTTTTTATTTTTTAAATTCTTTTTCTTTTTTTTTTCGTTTGCTTGAAATAAAATTTTCCCCTTTTCGCAATTTTGCCTCTTGTATACATTTTACTGTTTTTAATTCATTCAGGGGCCAAGGGTTTACGTTCCCTATTTTTTCTTTCTGGCCAAAAGGTTTTTCCCTTAAAGTGTCAAATCGGGGAGTCCTGGAGTACATTTTTTAAATTTAAAATATAATCTTCAAAGATTGTAAGGGAGAGGTCTGGGGCGTGTGGGGAGGGAGAGGTACTTTTAATCTTTATCCGTGGTAAAGACGAAATAGAGTGGAGGGTTCATGTTATCAGTGTTGGGAATAAAATGATCGGCTTGCTTCTCTCTTGTTTGTTTGGGCATAGATTTGTTGATGCTTTTTTTTAAAAAACCTTTTTTTATGTTGAAAAATTTCATTTATATAGGCAGCTAAAATTTTTTTAATTTTTTTTTTTTTTTTTTTAGTGAACCACTGGTTTATTTTTTTTTCAACTAAAAAACCCCCCACGATTGGCAGCCCGAATGTCAAGTTTTGTTTCTCCGGCCCTACTTTAGGCACTTTGTTTTAGTGACGGCCTTCAGGCCAGGATCCCTGTCTTCACAGGGAATCTTTTAAGGGGTTGTGAGAGTTGTTTTTAGCAATCTTGGTATTTATTAATTTCAGTAATGTAAAACAAACTAAAGACAGTCTTCATTATGAAAAGAAATTACGAATTTCTTCTGTAAGCTTTTTCTTTAAAAAAAAAAATTAAGTTTTATTTTGATTTCCTTTCAGATGCCGATAATTTTGGAAAAA